CAGGCGCAGCTCGTCCAAGGACTGGGCGACACCTGGGCGGGTCATCCCCGTGGACCGCCCATTGTGGTGCACTGCAGTGCAGGCATTGGACGCACAGGTGAGGCGATAGCATTGTGGACAATCCCCCTCCAGATTTACTGACCGACAACTCAACGCAGGTACATTCATCACCCTGGACATTTGCATATCGCGCCTGGAGGATGTGGGCACGGCGGACATACGCGGCACCGTTGAGAAGATCCGATCACAGCGCGCCTACTCCATTCAGATGCCCGATCAGTATGTGTTCTGTCACCTGGCCCTCATCGAATACGCATACTCGCGTGGAATGCTGCAGACGGTGGATCTGGCTGGCTTCGATGAGCGCGAACCGGACTCGGAGTAGGCAACTAATACCGACAGAGTCTTTGGACCGGAAAGCGGACGAGGAAACAACTTGTATACAGAATAATTTTATGTTTTACCATTGCAAATTGGAGTTGTCACCTTCCTCGACTAGATGTTCGTCCTGATATGATATAATATGATATATATGATACGAGAGAAACGATGGGAAGCACAGACAGATTCCGAAACACGGAGTACGATGGAGATGAAAATGTAGAGAGTAGAGTAAACAATTTACGTTAATCTATTATTTTTTTTTAATATTATTACATACCAAGCTATAGTTGTATAGCAAAACCATCTATATATAAACATTATTTAAATTAAATTTAAAGTAAATGAAAAACAAATAGCTAAAAATAAAGAAACAAAAACAAAACCAGCAGCATTAGCAAACAAACAAAAGGCTAAACAAAAGCAAAAAACATTAAAAAACCGAAATTAACAGCGAAGAGTGTTTAACCATGACAAAGTTAACTAGAGTCCGATAAAGTACGGAGTACAACGAAGGCATAAAGAACGAGGATCAGGATAAGGACGAGGACAAGCGGGACTGGAGGCCACTCAAGGCGAGCAAACCAAACAAACCGTCCGGCGGACAGTCAAAATCGTAGGCGTACCCGAAGAGCGGACAAATAATTGTGCATTTTCCCCATCTCAACCGAGTAATCAAGGTGCAGCGTGCTGCAAATTTCCTAAAGCGACTATGCAGCTGAAGACGGAGCAGCAGGAGCGGCAGCATCAGCGGCGCAGCAGCCAACTAGTTACAAAAAAATGTATAGCATATGCCTAGATCTACGTACCGCATATAGGAATATGGATTATAAGAAATACCAGAAGAAATCAGATTTAAGCACTGTTCAATGTTGTTGCATACCCAACAAATAGCCCAAAAGGATGAGAGAGAGAGAGAGTAATCTTTACCAGCCCAGCCTCCTGGCCGCATCTCCTCCAGATGTGACCGAATCTGATGCCCGAAAACCCCCACCCCAAGCTCTCTTCGCTCCCCAAGCTGTTAAATGTGTAATTTTTGTTTTGTTTTTACATTTTTCTTCTTTTTTTTTCTAATTCTTTACGAATATTTATATATAGAGCGTAATTAAGTGTATCGTGCAGAGAGTCGTAGTGAATTTTACTAAAAAAATTAGTTTACCAACTAAACGTAAATAGTTGAACGCGCAGAAGGCGAGTATTACAGAAAGGATGGATAAGAAACATATATCTAACATGCCTTCTTACCTACATTTTTCATATATGCCAAGCGAATCTAAAAACGGAATAATAATCGTAATGAAAATAAATGAAGGAAAACCAAACATATTTTGTATTACTTTTTTAAAATAACAAAAAGATCTATATTAAATTATGAATCAAGTCAAGAATGGCAGCTTTCTCGAACAGAAGTAAACTGAATATGAAAACAAAAACGAACTCTTAAGTGTAATTATGTGTATGTAATGTCGGTCAGAATGCATTTTCTTCGTGCATCTTTGCGAAAGTATTATAAATATTTACATAAATAACAAAATTAAGTGCATATACTGCAACACATCTGCAAACAAAAATAAGATAAATACGTTTTTTTTTTGTTTGTCTCATCATGTTTGTATGCATGTATATATACCTTATAGTATATATAGTATTTTTGGTGCGAATTTAAAAGTTGCCCGCACTGTGCTCCAAAAACACACAACCCATACACACTCTACCACTCACACGTATATCATTAGAATTGTAAAAGCTGTGATCAAACCCGAATGAAAGATGCAAGTCGAAAGTGGAGAAGCCTCAGATTCTCCTCGCACAGCTCCAATCATATTTAATCACAGAACAGAACAGAACCATTTTCAATTCTTTCAAAGGCCTTTTCCTAGAGAAACAAAGAACAAAAAACAAAAACCAAAAAACCTTACCAGATTGCATGATGAATACTACTCACCTCCCAGATCAGATCGATGGATGCTCTATTTTTATAATGCTTGACACTCGGATCATACTGCATATAATCCAAAACCAAATTGGGAAGACGCAAAATAAAGCCACGAAGATAACTATAAATATTTTTTGTAGTCTCCAGGCTCGGAGTGAAGGAAAGAATTTATTTAAAAACAAAAACAAAATAAATATATATATATACATACATATATATCTATGTAATAACACATGTATGAAAATTAGCAAAATTTCTTCAAGTGTAATGTAAAATTAGCTAGAGTCACAAGCCTTTGTTTTCCGTTCAAACGAAGTGTAAAAAAATTACTTAGTATGAGTACGCAAAATGTTGCATGTGTCACACAATTGCTTTCAGAAAGCTTTGCAGCGCACAACATGCACCCAAAAATCAAAAATGGAAAAAACAAAACCATTCACCAGATAGATCGATCGATCGATCCAGCCCACCCTTAACCAACTATTGACTAAATCTATCCACTAGCAGCTACTCCCCGCATATTGAATACTCGCATTTGTCGCACTCACTTGGATAAGCTACCACTAACCAACCGGAAGACCACTCTAGCCTCCACCAATCCACTAATCTGCCCCAAATCCTGCTCTAAACCACAGGATACCACTGTACATACACGCGGCAGGACGCGTCCGCGTCCGGCAAACCAGTCCACGATTCACGATCCACACTCGAAACATGGAAATTATAGCCTAGAGAAATGGTCGCATAATATTTAAGGACATATAATAGTATGTGTTATCATTTCATTAAACGAACCGAGAAACCAAAATACAACTTGATGTAAAAGCGAAATGCATTTTGCAGTTAATAAAAAGTAACAAATGAAAATTGTGGATAAAATATATAGAAAACGTAATACTTTTGGTTTCATTTAGAGGTGTTTGTGGCAATTCTCATTTTTTCCAGGACCAACTAATCGCCGGTCACCTTCTGGTATTTTAAGACGAAAATGTTTATCCCAAATTTATTTTACCAGGCGAGCATAATCAGTAACAGGTACCTGCTAAAAAATATTTGTCAAAATCCGTTTTTTCGAATTTGGGTCATAAAATAATCAGTTTTTTGGCCACAACTTCAAAAATAATTGTCTAAATATGGAATGTTACACCTCGTTGAGCTCGTAATTAAATTCCCAATCGAACTGCGTTCAAAAATGGGAACGCTAATTTTTTGCAAATTTTGATGATGTTACCCCTTACAAAAAATGCGAAAATTGATCGAAAAATGAATTTCCCAAAATCCGTCAAAAAGTGATAGGGGTCGTTAGCATTGATAATTAGCTGCTCAAAGCTGTTATTCTTTTTTCTTTATGATCATTTTTAGCCGAGTTATGATTAAAATGCCTATCAAAAATATTTGAATTTTCCCCAAAATCCGTTTTTTCGAATTTGGGTCATAAAATAATCAGTTTTTTGGCCACAACTTCAAAAATAATTGTCTAAATATGGAATGTTACACCTTGTTGAGCTCGTAATTAAATTCCCAATCGAACTGCGTTCAAAAGTGGGAACGCTAATTTTTTGCAAATTTTGATGATGTTACCCCTTACAAAAAATGCGAAAATTGACCGAAAAATGAATTTCCCAAAATCCGTCAAAAAGTGATAGGGGTCGTTAGCATTGATAATTAGCTGCTCAAAACTGTTATTCTTTTTTCTTTATGATCATTTTTAGCCGAGTTACGATTAAAATGCCCATCAAAAATATTTGCATTTTTCCCAAAATCCGTTTTTTCGAATTTGGGTCATAAAATAATCAGTTTTTTGGCCACAACTTCAAAAATAATTGTCTAAATATGGAATGTTACACCTTGTTGAGCTCGCAATTAAATTCCCAATCGAACTGCGTTCAAAAATGGGAACGCTAATTTTTTGCAATTTTTTGAAAATTTTGATGATGTTACCCCTTACAAAAAATGCTAAAATTGACCGAAAAATGAATTTCCCAAAATCCGTCAAAAAGTTATAGGGGTCGTTAGCATTGATAATTAGCTGCTCAAAACTGTTATTCTTTTTTCTTTATGATCATTTTTAGCCGAGTTATGATTAAAATGCCCATCAAAAATATTAGCATTTTTCCCAAAATCCGATTTTTCGAATTTGGGTCATAAAATAATCAGTTTTTTGGCCACAACTTTAAAAATAATTGTCTAAATATGGAATGTTACACCTTGTTGAGCTCGTAATTAAATTCCCAATCGAACTGCGTTCAAAAATGGGAACGCTAATTTTTTGCAATTTTTTGCAAATTTTGATGATGTTACCCCTTACAAAAAATGCGAAAATTGACCGAAAAATTTAATTTTCCTAAATCGGTCAAAAAGTGATAGGAATGGTTAATATTGCTAATTAGCCGTAACAAACTGTTTTTCTTTCATCTTTATGACCATTTTTAGCCAACTTATGATAGAAAACCGTCAAAAATGTATCCACATTTTATAAATAATTGTCGCGATAAAATTTTTGCTTTTGAAGTAAAAGGCTCACATTTATTTATTTATAATTATAGTTAATTTGTTCATAAATACACGCACATTAATAGTTCATTAAAACAATCTTCATTTATCAATAAGTAGTTCAAAAAGCGTTTCTTTCTTTCTCTGTCTCTTTCACTGCCTTTAGCTCTGTCTCTCTCCATCTCCGTTGCTTTCCGTATTAACTAATGCCAAAAATACATGTAAACAAATCACCATTTAGTTATATTTTCGTTTCGTTCTCGCTTTCGATAAATACTAATCATAAAAATTTGTTTTTTGTTTTTGCATTTGCTTTTGGTATTCAATTATTTAGCTACATTTGAAATTTTGTATGTTTTCGTTAAATATAATTCGTATTATCGTTAATTTTATGCGCCGAAAGAACCAATAAAGCCGAAGCAACGCACTGGACCAATTCGTAATCGTTGGCAAAACACCAGCCAAGATTTAAATATATAAACCCAATCGATGCTACCATGTGCAGCCTGTCCTGACCAGAGATTTGGTCAAGTGGCAGGCGAGGATGCACATGACAGCTCCTACACGGGGGGTTGGTTGTTAAGGGGTTTGTAAATTCAAAAATAATTTACATACTTTTTGGGTAAAAGGAGAGGGGGTAAATATACATATATGTTATATATGTGTTATAATAACTGACATCCACAATACGCTTATTTGGAATGCACACATCTAGGGAGTGTTCAAATTTGAGTTTGAATTCGAGTTTAGGCTAAGAGAACATTATAAGCTAGTTAAGTATTGGCGTAGAGTTGCTCTGCTCTCTTTCTTTGGGAACTGCTTAACTGGATCTGGAGCAGCGTTTACGCGTCGTAAATTTCTCTAGAGGCAGTTGGCATCGTTTCGAGTGTAAATCAGGCAGAGTCAAGCGAAGGATACTTAGGCTTAGAAGTTATCCGGGGGCGTTTAGATCTTAGGACTAATGACTGGCGGCGCTGGCAAGCCGTTTTGCTCTTGAGGTAACTTCCATTCAAACGAACGGCAAACGAAGGCGAAGGCAAATTGTCTACGAACTAGTGGGATGCCATGCCTAAAGTAGCAAGTCTGTCTATGGCTAGGCTATTCTTTGCTTTTCAATTTTGTTCTTTTGGGGGGACGGGTAACCTACGTATATAAATAACTACAGTACAATCCTGAGTCTTGCAGAAATCCCAGTAGATTTGCATAGAATTAAGGCGCCTTAAAATATCTAACAAATTTTAAGTAGTAACTAACTTTCCGTTAAAAATTACGAATTATGTTTCAAGTTTCGTTTACCTAATTCTAGTTCTATTTTTAAGAAATACCATCTGAAACTAAATAATAGTTTCAACTCCTGTTTAGACTTCAAAAAGTGGAATGTAACTTTAAAACTACAAAACTTTTACAAAGACTTCAATGTTATTTTTCAAAGACTCCAGTTAGTGGCATACAAATCCCTGGGATTTCTGCAAAGCTCGCGAATTTCTAGACTTAGGCAAGTAATAAAAACTTCTAAAATCGAAATAAAGCGTTTCGGGTTATGTTTGTTTGTTTGTGTGTGTGTGTGTGGGTGCAACAAAGTGAGGCTGAGGTGCAATATCACGTGCCTACTCGATCCCGAACGTGTTGGTCTCCTCGACGGCCAGCAGCAGCTTCTCGTACAGCAGTTCGGGCGTTGGATAGGGCGGCAGGTCCAGCCGATTGAAGCAGGTGTGGGCCCGGGGCAGTGCATTAGGCTTGCCCCACTTCTCGATGCAGAAACGCCTTGGGCCAGTCGATCCGCGCAGTGCCGAGAAGCCTTCGTACGGGATGCTCGAGGTGCCAGTCACGAACTGAAGGAGACGCAGCCGCTGCTCGTTGCTGAAGCGCTCGATGACCTGCCAGAACCACACGATCACCTGATGATTATCGTGGTAGCCGGAACGATACTCTGTGTTCAGGCGCCAATCGTTTGTGTCTATTTCCGCAGTGCCGGCAATAACCAGCTCCAACTCCCGGGCATCGAAGACGGAAACGAGCCGCGAGTCGACCACCTCGTAAAAGCCGCGCACCAGCGACTCGGTCTGCTCCTGAACGCCGCGCTCCAAACGCCACTTAATCATGCGCTCCAAGTACTCCTTTTTGTTCTTCTCGTTGACGATGATGTTCTTGCCGCCCGGCTTCAATTCCCGCTCCACCACACGGCCAAGCAGCTCCTCTGTGACGCAGAATGTCAGGCCGAGATCCACGCCCGTGCCGATGTCATTGTCGCGTATCCACTGCAACGACTGATGGAACTCATTGTCCAGCGACTCCAAGTCACTGAGGGCCACGGGCAGGCGCAGCAGCGCCTTGTAAAAGGGTCGCGTAAAGAACGCGTCCAGTAGATACTGATGTACCAGTGCCAGTCCCAGAACTCGTCCGCTAAAGCGGAACCAATCGTGGCAGTTGTCCACGAACGCCGACAGCGGCGACACCTGCACCGTGTACGTATCGTTGGCGGAGTACTCGAACAGTCCGTAGTATGGATTGAACAGCTCGCGGGAGAGCAGGAAGAAGAACTCGCGTGAGGGTCCGCCGTAGTCCAGGCCCTCCTCCGTATCCCACAGCACGGCGAGACGGCCGCGTTGCAGGTCCTTCTTGTTGGCGGACATGATGCGACGGAAGGCGTCCTCCAGCAAATGGCTGCGACGGATGTGTAGCCTTCATGTGAATGAATACGCAGATTAGTATTGCTTAGGCGTAAAGGGTTTGTAATGCGATTCTTACTTAAGCTTGTGGGGTCCTTGCCCATAGCCCTTGGACTCCAGTTTGCGATAGAAACTGCGCAGCTTGGCCTCGAAATCCCTGCGGAATGGAGGCGGCGCCCGCTGTGGCATCCGGGAGCTCAGGACCGGCGATCCCTGCGGACTGCGCTCTTCAATAGGAACATAGCTCATGATCTCCTGCTCGAACAGGCTGTGGGAAAGATAGTCCAAAGTCATATTAGTTGTACTCGTCGCACAAAGCGATTAACTTCGGGGATTGGTCATAAATCTACGGCAAGCACACTACGCTATCGGTGGCGTCACTTTCGCTCCAATGGCTCCAATGGCGGTGCTATTGATGGCTCATGGCTAATCCGGCAATTGATCAGCCCACGCGGCAGAGCACAACCACATCCGACAGCCCGGAAAGGACGCCAATCGGCATATGGAATGTGCGTTGATGGCGGATTAAGGAGATAAATGCGCTTTGGACTTGGCACTTGACCATATCGGCTAACTGAGAGAAGTTCTAAGATCATTCGAAAAAAAAGTGTATTTCCCTGAGTGCGCAAACATATATTAAAATAAAGTAATAAGGTTAAATTTTCGATATTGGCGTGCCAAATTTTTAATAACTCAATGAAAAAATCCATAAAATTACAAGCAATTAAAATTCAAAAACCAATTGATCTCTATAATGATGGCAACATTTGAAACTTCGCATATGCATATCTATAAACACTTGTTCTGGCTGAAAATCGTGCGATTGCAGCTGGCTGGCTGATACGTCACTCGACGACATATAGATTTCGATTCTGGTGTCGACCCATTTGCATTGAATTCAGCGCTGATGAAATCAGACCACAGATGAGAAGATGAAGAGGTCAGCAGGGCAAGTGATTTGTCATGGGCATTAATATGCGACTTGAATACATTGTTGAAGAGCGAGCGATTCTTTCTTCCGCCCCTGGATGGCCACGCCCAAAAGACCGTCAAAGTTTTCTCACCGCCAGGCGGAAGAATCGCTCGATTTTCAATCAATGCAATCGATTAGGTCAAAGGCGACCTTCGCCCAAAAGCCAGAACACACTTTTCCTTCCCATTTTTTTCTGTTTCAGTTTATTAGTTCGTTTAGACCAATCGAATATTAACTATTTCGATTCTAAGTAGTTAATCCATAATTTAAATTGCTATTTGGTTGCGCCTTTTGCTTTTGCTCCGCCGACCTTCAACTTGAAATTGAAAATTGGCCAATTAATAACGCAAATTATGGCGGTCAACCGCACTTGCGACTAGGTGCTATATATTTATATATATTCATGTTTATTCGGATTCGGGGATCGGATCGGTTTAAATTGGCTGGGATCGAACGGATAGTGACAGCAGTTTTGGCTGCAATTATCACCGGCTCGGAAGTGACTAATTCCCCAATTGAAGCCACACCATTTCTGGGCTCATTAGCAATACTTTTTGGCAGTTTTGCGGCAGATGGAAGTGGAAACGGATCAATTAATGGGGCCGTACTGTACCCATGCCGTGTCAAATTACATTTAAATTGATTGAAATTCTGGCAAAATTATTGGAACAACAGGAAGCTGCAATTAACGCAAATTCCAATATAATTTGAAAATTCGACGCAGAACCAAACGATTGTGGTGACACCCACTCTCTCCCCCAACAAAGAATCACCCAATATGTTCGCCACTGTGTGGTGGATATGTATATGTGTATGGGGGCGTTGTGGTCTAGGGGGCGTGGCTGGTGCGTAGTAAAATATATAAACACTTGATGCAATCGCTGCGGACGGCCGGTCGATGACTTGGCGTCCAAAGAAAGTCCACAAAAGTGCGGAAATGCTGAGGGATTGCCTTTGATAAAGTCACTATCTAGCGAATAACTCTTTCTCTTTCAGTATCTTTTGCTGTACCATTGCCCAAAATAAGCTAAGACATAAACATAAGTCAGTTATAAGTTGAAATTAAGTAGCATTCGCTTGCAAATCGCCCTCGTCTGCGAAAATAATTCGCTTTATGCGGGAAGAAGCTCTCCAAAGAGATCGCTCATGCCATTTATATACAATCATATTTCACTACAGTTCCCACTTCACTTTCCATTCTATTATCAGCCAGCAGACTTCCCCTTTGGATATTTAGTCCCCAGTTTATGAATACACCACTCCCGATTCACCCACATTATGCCAGGCGACAACTTCAGAAATTATTCGCTAAATATTCGGAATTGCCGCGAGCACATACATATGTAATATGATACGAAGGGGAAGTGCTTTTATGCTGGTCGATGGCTCAGTAGGTATAAGAAAAACTTCAAATACATTAATTTTATTAAGTAAAGCCAGTAAAGCAAATCCAGAATCTGTGGCGACTCACGTACTTCTCCCACATGTGGAGGGTGTAGACGAACTTGGAAAAGATACCCATTTGATGGGTTATAAATCCGAAATGGATTCTCAATTAGCAGTACACTAAATCCACAAAGAGCCAAACACCGACAGGGAGGGGAAAAAATAAAAATGAAAATAACTCAAATCACAAACGAAAACTTTGGTAAATCGATTCCCAGTCGAACTGTAGCTAACGGCCAACTGATTTCGAGTCCCAACTCATTTCGTACCCAAACTGCACCATCTGCTGCATTTGGGGGGCAGAAGGAAGGGAGCCACCGATACCACGATAAGCTGATAAGACTGCTGGCGATAATGGAGCCTTAACCCATTTGGGTTTTTTCCTTTTTCGGCTGATTATGGTTGAGTTTTCGGGGTTGCATGCTTTCAGTTTCAGACCAAAGCGCTAGCATTTCAACGTCAGTATTGTTACATTTTTCCAAACTGCGGGACATTCGAAATCTAATCGAAAATAATTAAAATTACCACACTCCCCCACTTGGGGATTGACCAAGCCGCGCAAGCTGGTGAAATTCTATGCCAGATAAGCTATAAGCCAAGTGCCCAAAGAACAATGTAATTGGTTAATATAAACAAACCACTTGAGTCGAGCGCATATCCTTGAGACTTTGCTTCACCCATAACATGGACCTCTGCAATTGGACACTGGTCATAATAGAACCACCAGTGGGTTCCCACATACCCCGACCATAAGTTACTCATAATTTGTGCGAACTGTTTACTTGGCATTCCGCAGCATTCCTGCAAGCGAAGGCAACCGGAGTGCCATCCAGATCGTAATGCTGTAACGTGGGAATGGAATGGGAGCCGGCGAATGGAATCGGAGATCTTTGCCACGGATAGAAAAGTGCCCGGCCGGCGGTGCGAAATGGTAAACAAAATCGGATGCAACTGGTGGACAGGATGTGATCTCGTTTTGCATGCGCTGCATTTTGAGCGTTTCTTGTGGGAAGTGCATGTGGGAATAGATGAGCAAACACTTCTTGGATGACTCAAAAACAAGATGTAGAATCTTGCGAAATAGCAGATAGTACTTAGTTGGGTCATAATTCAGTTAGGTAATGCTCTTTTCAAAGAACCATTTAAGTGAAACAAGAAATATGGTGCAGAGGGAGCTTAACCAGAAAAAGATATACATATATGAAATAAATTAATTGATGCTCTTCTTGCTACAAGTCTTGATGGAAGTCTATTAACGATGTCCTTCATCCTGTTAATGTTCCATCTATTTCTCCCATTCCCCATCATATCACAACATCATTTGGGATTCCTTACAGTGTTGTTAAAACTCAACCGAAAAAAAGAAGGTACCCAAAACCGATCGCTTGCTAATCGAAGGGTACTTCACATCCAAAACGATGACTACACGCGTGCAAGGTGGTAACTTAGCCCTTGCCGAGGGGATTTACTAGACGGCACTGGTTCGATACTTACACGGCCCACACGATGTAGGCAGCCTTCGATAGAAAGCCCATTTTGTTGTGCGCCCAATGCCTTGAGCACCAAATAGTTAACCATCACTGAGATCACTCCGTGTCGATAGGATATTCCGCTAACGGATACGGCAAAAAAAAAGGCGCGAAACGGTTGCGTATCGGATTGTATCGGTTATCAAGCGGTTAGAAAAGAAACACACACACTGCAGAAACGGTAGAATGTGTGCTCACGCTCCGGCTGTTGAAATGCTTCTGGTGATAGAGGCTCACTATCCGACGAACACGGAACGAAGTCGCAACGGAGGCGACAGAAGCGGTACAAGCGGTACAAGCGGCTGAAGCGGCTGAAGCGGCAGCGGCGTCCAAACGAACGGAACGAACAATATCACAAATATGAAGTTGTATATAAATAGAGCTTCCGTACAGGATGATTTCGGATATATTCTCGGCCGATTCTTATGTGGCATATGACTAACAGCTAATAGCTAATGGCAAATGGCATATAGCTGCTGCTCCAATGACCGACGACTGCAGAATGCTGGCGTTTGTCTAGCCGCACAACCGATAAATATGAATTCCGTTTCGATTCAGTTTAGGCGGCAAAGGAAATTATTTAATTACTCGCTGGCTTTGTATTCGATCGGCTTTTCGTATCGCCTCGTACCGTTGGAGTACTGTTTTCTGCTGTTTAGTTTTTTTTTTTGGTTTTCGACGTTCGAGGCGGTGCAGCGCTGCTCCAAACGACGCCGCCGCAGAGCCAGCAGAATCCGCCGACGAACTCCAAGCGGCACAGTGGCCGTTGGTGGCGAATGGGGGTCAGGTATCGGGTGCAGAAGTGGACAGGGACTACTTATTACTGTACGTTACGGACTATTTCCTTGCTTTCTAAAAAGAGAATTTTTTTCTTAAAAAAAAAGACAATTTCTAATTTTGATTTTAATTTTAAGAACTTGGAAATAAGAAGCACGTTTTATCAACAAAGTATTTGGAACTTTCTGCTGATTATCATATTAGAATAGATCTAAAATCAAATAACTCGGCTACACTGTACCGCCATCAGTCAGCTGTTGCCGGCATGACTACGATTTCGGATTCGGATTCGGATTCGGGTTCGGGTTCGGGTTCGGGTTTGGGACTGCGATTGAGTCACCCCCACGAGGAGTGCACTTCAAACGATCGACGACAGCACCATCCCCACAGCAGTACCCATACCCATACCCATTCCCGTACCCATTCCCAGCGCAATCCATGGCATGTGGATGGGTGAGTGTGTGGCGTTGGTCATGGTTATAATTGCCCGCTCATCACTCCACCGCGACAACCACTCCCACTTCCACTGCCACTGCCACCGCCACACTCCGTTTCCAACTAGAACTACATACAAATGAACTGCTGCCACGCCCTGCATTTAGCACGCCCCAAAACGGAAGCCAGCCACAACAAACCGCAAACAGACGCCGGCCACTGTCTCCATGACTGCCTGCCCCCCAATGCTTCCATGTTCGACTGCCCCAATACTCCAATGCTCCAATGCCTCGATGATCCCATGTCCCAATCGAACTGCACGCATGCGCAGCCGCCCAAAAGCCCAATGAACTGTAAACAAGCAACAAACAACTGAGGGAAAAAAGCGAATGTTCCCTTCTACGGGTCAAATTTAAACGGCAAACAGCAGTTAACCCAACTCCACCGCCAGCTTCCTGCCTTGCAAATAGTTTATGACTGTGCCCATACCCTTCTTATATCAATAATATGCACAATAATAGTTACATATATAAGATGAAGCAGTTCTTGACCTACTCAATTGGGCACACTATTAACTATTTTAGTTAACTAAACTGCTTTTTTTTGGTGACTAAAGCTAGGTTGAGAAATCCTTTGTGAGACCAAACTAGATGTACCCCTAGGAAGAGCACCTAAAAGGCCAACTGCAAACTTGTCAATGCCTCGACGACGGCGACGAAGTTCAACGATGATAATAATGATAATAATAATGATAGTACAACTAGCTGATGGCGATGATGACGATGACGACACTGCCACACCCCCGCTGGAAAAAGAAGAAAAGAAACCCTAAAGACGATCGGACGACGGGACTCGAAATTTCGAATTGGAGTTGCTATATCTACACATATGCAATAAATTATGCTTGATTTGGAATTGGGTTAAATTGTGTGCCCGGCGAGGGGAATCAGCGGATTAGTGGGGCGGGTGTGGAATTTATGGGGCAGCTGCTGCTGCTGAGACTTTGGGGCGTTGCCCTGCCACCTAAAAAAGGAGGCGTGGCTGCCCCCAAGAGATCGCTCAATAAATATACACGAGTTTATAGTTTTCAAAAGCCATTTAGCTATTTATAAAACACCGGCAAAGGCATTTAGCCAACTGGCGAAATCTTCGGATAACTAAACGCGTGTATTTGCTGACTTTTAGTGGGCATATTTATTGCCCAACAACATGGAAAACTGGAAAAAGGGGATGGGGCTGGGCGGCGTGGGTTACCTCATCGCTATCGCATCCACTTGGATGACTAATGGCCAAGTGCAGATTGTCTGAGGCTGCGGATTCTGATCTCAGCCCACTCGGAAGCGGAGTAGTGCATTCATAAGTTACTATATAGTACATATGCATATGTGTGTTTCCCCGATATCCGATTGGTTGCAAAAGGTTGTGTAAATGCTTTCCCGAACGAGATCGTTAAGTGTCACTCCTTGCCATACAATATGCTTTAAATGAACAGACTAATTAACTTGGTAGTTTCGTTCTAAGCAACGTGTTGAGCTAATTATTCAAATGGAAACATATTTCAATCACGACGTCACATTTTTCCACTACGTTTATATGGTGTGTGCCAATTGCTCTACTAATATTGATGTGTGCCTGAAGTTCTATTAAACAACTTCCCTCTTTCCATTGGATTAATTGTAGGGAATTAATTAACCATCAAATTAGGGTTTGGTGACCCCGATCTCCAGAAAGGTTCATAATTGAACCAATTAAACCATTCAAATGGCATCCAGTGTGAAAAACACGCAGGATTCTTTTACATTTACATGATTACCAGAAGTTTACGAACCAGATGTGCATAGTATTTGCCCTCGCACAAATCCGAAACCATACCAAACAACTCCCACGACTCCTTTTCCGAGTGTGCGGGGTGGGAGTGGGCCAATGAAGCGCGACAATTTGGCTAATTGAAATGCAATTAAATGGCTCAATCTGAGTGGGAATCAGAATTGTTGGTGGCCGGCGGGTTTGGGAGGCTTGAGAGGCTTGAGAGGCGGCGACTTAATCGCTCGACTTCGATTTCCATTTAGCTGCCGCCGAGATTGGGATTAAGATTAAGGTCAGCGCAATGTGCATGCGGCTTGGATGCCGGGCAATTGGCCGGTCTGCAGTTCCTCAATTTTTGTGGCAAATGTTCGAGATTATTATTTGTTGTATTGCTGTGTTATGTTTCGAAGAAACACGGCCAATTAGACAATAAGCAATGCGATTAGAAGCCAAAGACTTTGTTAATGTGCTAGCCTTGCCGTGGGTAGGTGGCCAGTCCGTGCGCTTTGGAAAATTAGCCAGCGACCTTCGACACGGTTTTCAGAAACAATTAAACTCACTAGCCGCACTCATATGCGGCGCACTCATGCAGGACCGCCGCCAAAATCGATTGAAGCCAACAGAACCAGCTACGAACAAATCAAAGGCGAAGCCAAATCCAAAACCAAATCCAAAACTAAAACCAAATCCAAAACACAGCAGACCAACTGATTCGAGCCAAGAAAATGACGCAGCAATGCAATTTCAGGCCAGGTGGATTTGGCCCGGCTGTGGGACCTTCGTCAAGTGCAGGTGGAGCCATTGGCTGACGGCCACCGATGCGTCAGTTGAGCGGGACTATATGGCAGTGGGTTCATTAGCACCACGCCAGTTCCGAGGATTTTCCACCTGTCTGGCCGGTGGAACAATCCGAGTATAACACTTTACCGACACATTACGCACACCAAATAGCTATTGCAGATATATATGTACATCGTGCGGACCGTATTCGCGTTAAGTAACATGCTCAAACTATATTGTTTGAAATCGGGTCACTCACCTCAGCAAAATGGTCAGTTGTAGGTCATGGCCCAATCTCTCGAGAGCGGGAACACCCTCCACCCGCAGGATATTGATTTTCTCACGCAACTGGCGGGACATTGTGTGCTGGCCCTGGCGCTCTCGCAGGATCTCCAGGATGTTCGGCTGGCGCAGGAAGGCAATGACCTGGAAGCATTGATGTGGATTCAGTTGGAAATCAAGCCAGATTGTGTAGAAGCTACGCACCTTTTCGTTGTAGGCGATGGGCACATCTTCGTACCCGGCTGCAGTGGCTCCCGCTCCGGACATTCCAGCGGCACCATACGCCGAACGGTCCGCGTTGAGGGCACAGGAGATGGCTGCCGTTGTGGTGCAGTTGTGACCATGTCCATGGCTACTTCTGGAGGAGGAGGACGAGGATGAGGGTCTGGGCGGCGGCAAAGGCGGCACACCGGACACCGAGGACGCCGGACTGGCGTTAATATGCCCACTGGTGGCGGACAGACAGTTGCCATCCACCAGATCCGGGTAGTAGTAGCCCACACCTGACTGTTGCTGCTGCTGCGGATGCTGCTGGCGGTGACGCACCACGCGTGGACACTCCACGGGCAGACGAGGATCCATGAACGAGGTGCGACGGTGCTGGTGATCAATGAAGAACTGCTTGCCCGATTGATCCAGCTTGGTCTCCCAGCACGAGGGCAGTTCCCTGCTCATCTGGGCGAATGTGTTAACCAGCGCCACCAGATCCTTGTTGTACTGATAGCGCTGGAAGCACTGTGGATCCCGTCGAATGCGCATGACCATGTGCTTCAGTGCGGCATTGCGGTTATAAATGGCCAGTGCAGCTTCGTTGGTGTGCAGCAGGGAGTAGAAATCCGGGCGGCAGAGCATGAGGATGGCGGGATGTATAGCCGTGGCGGGAGGAGGAGCGGCTGGAGCACTGGAATTGGCATTACTATTGGCAGAGGTTGGCAGATTGTAAAGCTGCGCAGCTCTGCTCTCATTGGTAATGGTGCGCCGGATGCTTTGATACCGCCTATCCAGCTGCTGGCGATGGTGTTGCTCTCTGCCAGCTGGTCCTCCACTTGGCGCCGCTCCTGGTCGTTGCCAGGAGGTTGTCCGCGTTGTGTGATCGATGTAAAAGATGCGTCCGTGGCTGTCCATTCGCGCCTCCCATGCGGGTGGCAATGGTGGCTCTCCCGCGGCTCCTGCTCCACTGGACCCGGATACCGTACCCGATCCTGGTTCCATGAGAGCTGCTCCAGCTGCTGCTGCCGCCGCCGCCGCTGCTGCGGCTGCACTGCGTTCTGGAATGGAGGGCAGGCGGGTGCTGCTGATGTGCACTACTTCGTCTGGCTGCTCCTGACCTCCCTGCTCTTGGCCAGCATCTTGCAGGTATATGTAATCCAATTGACTAGAAACGGCTGGAGGATCCGTTGGGATCGCTCCTCCGCTGGCGAGGCTGGAGTTGGCAGTGACGGCTTGAAGGCGGGCATGCCGCCGGGCATGGTGAGTAGGCGTTGGTGGACATACCAATGGCGATCCGGTTGCCCCGGCCGTAGTACCAGCTCCGGCACCACCGCCAACACGTTTGAGCAACCGTTGCTGCGGTCGCTGACCATGAAATGTTGGAGTACCAGGCGGCACCACATCCTGCAGAGCTCCACCCACTCCTCTGCCTCTGGTGGGCGAGTGCTGCTCGGGACTCAGGCTGAGATCCAAGGGAGAGGCACTGCGCGTGGAACAGCCTGAAGGAGGACTTCTCGGACGTTTTGGTGAGAGCAGAAGGCGTGGGGAGGCTTGCTCCTCCGATGAACTTGCCTTGCCATTGGAAAGGGCACGAGTGAGCGGACGGTGCTGGCGCAGATAAGGAAATTGCAGACTATTTGGCGACGAAGACGAGGATCCAACTGCCGAGGAACTCGGAAAGGTGGGGAACTCATAGCTCTGGTGGACCGGCACCTTTTGTGTGCTAATCGTGTTGATGTAGCTATCGGGTCCAATCTTCTTCTTCAGCAGCGGCTTAAATCGCACAGGCGGCGTGGCCAGGGGTGAATTATTCGAGCTTCCACTGCCCTGGGCAATTTCCTCGGCCAGTCGCTCATCTGTGTCCAGGATGTCGAACTGAAAGACATCGCCCTGAAGCTTCAGATCCCGACCAACAGCACGCGGCGGCCAAGAGCGTTCCAGCGGACGATGCTGTGGTGGCGAGGGCTGTCGAAGATGCTGATGATGATGCTGTTGCTTCTGTTGCTGCTGACGGCGCTGCACATGGGCACTGGCCTGGAGGGCCGCAGCGGCTCCCAGAAGACTTTCCACGGCAGCCGCCTCCTCGTCCTCCTCCTCATCCACCTCCTCGTCCACTTCGGCCATGCTCAGAGTATCCACCATTTCGGCGGGCACTGTTTCAAAACATTCGCGTGCCACCCACAGATTAAAACCGTCTCCATTAGCATTGGACAGCGTTGTGGTCGTTGCACCCGCCTTGGTCTTCTTCTTGGCTCCGCTCAGGGGCGTGGAACCACCGCTTTGGGGCGACAGTGTCCAGGACTTGCGACGCGCGCCACCGCCCACACTGCTGCCGCCATCACTGCCAATGCTGCCATTGTAGGAGTTGGTCGGTGAGAGCGTGGCATTGTTGGCTGGTGTCTCGCAGGATTTGGTGGAAAGCAGGGTCTGATGGCGGGGTTCCCTCGGCTCCTTTGAGCCTGCTGGCTTTTCCTCTTTCGCAGCTGTAAGAGGAGCAAGTGGATAAGTGGATGTACTCGCTCGGTGGTCTCAAATTACTCACATGCTTCACTGGACTGGGCCAGTGCGCAGGCCCCCAGCTCCTGCTGCTGCTGCTGCTCCACCTCCTTTGCCGCGTCCTGATTTTCAAATGCCAAGGGCGGTTCCTGTACCTCCACTTCGCTGACACTCACCTGGACATCGTTGGTCAGGGTGAGGGCACTCTGGAAGGCCTGTTCCATTTCGTCACTTTCGTTGCCGTTGCGCGCCTCATAGAAGGCTTCCTCCTCTTTCGGATCATCATCGTCCTCCTCCTCCTCGTCATCTTCCTCTTCCTGCTCCTCCTGCTGCAGCCTGACTGCAATGGGATCCACTGGATTCCTGTCCGCCAGGCATGCGGAAGATGCTGCCAGTGGCTGTAGGGGTACCGGTGCAGCTGGTGGCTCCATTTCGTTTGCCTCCGGTTCTCAAGATGTGCTCTTCCTCTTCCCCAGCACTCTTGCTCTTCCTCTTCCTGGTCCACTACCACCACTGCCACCCAGCCCCCGCGCCCAGTCCAGGGTTAACAGTTACAGTTACAGCTGCAATTGCTCTACTTTGGCGTTCTGATGTTTGCTGCCTGCCGACCGGAGCATTTCGCGTCCTCCAGCCATGAGTCCAGATCTGGGCCGTGCTGTGCTGTGCTCACTGCCCGCTAGGCCGTGGCGCTGGGCTTAGTTGATCAATTGTTAATTTAAGGATTGCAAAAGCTAAATAAAATATTTCGGGGCTAGTGCAGTGTGACCAGAAGGCAATGTCGTAACAATGCCCACGCGCCAGAGTGGCCACCCTGTGCGGCAAAGCGAATGCAACGATTTGGGCGCGTCTGGCAGGGCTGGTCGTGTACTTTTTTTTTACTTTTGTGGCGCTTTTGCATTCGCATTTCGTTTGGGCTTCCGCCGCTTTTGAGAGCCCCGAATTAACCAGCGAACAACGTAACCGCGTCAGCATGGCCGCTGCAAGTGGAGAACTGTCCAAGAAGTAAGTGCACCCGGTTCCAAAGCGTAACCATTGCCCGCAAACATTCAATCCGGCCAACGTAGCTGCCCATTTGAGGTTAGGGCGAAGCGGCAACGTTCCAGTTCGCATTATTTATGTTGCATGTGTGTCGCTCGCTGATGAAATACGCTGCCTAAAATAACAATGTTCGCCCGCTGCGCCCTAAGAACCGTGCGGGGGGCCTGGCCCAGATGCAAATCCGGCGGAATGCGGCCACTGGCCGCCGGTTTCCACGTGAGCGCTTCGCTTTTGCAGCCAAGCAAGCAAACCAAACTGTGGGTTACTCATACGCACCGTTGGCCAGGCTGTCACAACTGCATGGATACATGTATTATACATACATAATCCGTGGTTATAACAGCCTTGTGGTAGAACCTCCATTGCCTGCTAATTCCCAACTGTTCCCCTTCATTCACAGTGAGCTAAAGCGTCGCCTGAAGGCCGAGCAAAAGGCCAAGGAGAAGGCCGAAAAGGCGGCCGCTGCACCGGCGGAAGGAGCTGCTGGCCAGAAGAAGAGCAGCGCCGCCGAAGAGGAGGATATCTCCCCCAATGAGTACTTTAAGTTGCGCTCCGCTGCCGTCCAAGAGCTAAAGCGTTCGCCCGCAACGGATCCGTATCCACACAAGTTCCATGTGAGCAGCTCGCTGGAGGACTTCATTGCAAAGTACGAGCATAGCCTGAAGGAGGGCGAGACCCTGGAGAATGTGAAACTGAGTGTGGCTGGGCGTGTGCATGCCATTCGGGAGTCGGGCGCCAAGCTCATCTTCTACGATCTGCGCGGCGAGGGCGTCAAGGTTCAGGTGATGGCCAGCGCCAAGTCTTACAAGTCGGAGGCGGATTTCGTGACCGATACCGCCAAGCTGCGACGTGGCGACATCATCGGCGTGGTCGGACAACCCGGCAAGACCAAGAAGGGTGAACTGTCCGTGATGCCCAGCGAGATCAAGCTGCTGTCGCCGTGTCTACACATGCTGCCACATCTGCATTTCGGCTTGAAGGACAAGGAGACGCGCTATCGCCAGCGCTACCTCGATCTCATTCTCAACAACAAAGTGCGAGAGAACTTCCAGATCCGTGCCAAGGTATGAAATGTTGATTTCAACAGTTGAGGCTGAATCACTTGCTACTCCCCGTTTCCGCAGATCATCTCGTACGTGAGACAGTTCCTGGACCGTCTGGGTTTCCTGGAGATCGAAACGCCCATGATGAACATGATCGCCGGTGGAGCCACTGCCAAGCCCTTCGTTACGCATCACAATGACCTGAAGATGGACCTGTTCATGCGCATTGCACCGGAGCTGTACCACAAGATGCTGGTGGTAGGTGGACTCGATCGCGTGTACGAGATCGGACGGCAGTTCCGTAACGAGGGCATCGACCTCACCCACAATCCCGAATTCACCACGTGCGAGTTCTACATGGCGTATGCCGACTACGCCGACATTATGGACATCACTGAGCAGTTGGTCTCGGGCATGGTGAAGGCGATCCGTGGCTCCTACAAGATCATCTATCATCCGGAGGGTCCAGAGGGGCCTGAACAAGAACTGGACTTCACGCCGCCCTTCAAGCGCGTATCCATGATCAAAACGCTGGAGGAGAAGCTGCAGGTGAAATTCCCGGCGGCCGATACCTTCAATTCGCCGGAGACGAATCAATTCCTGTCCCAGCTGTGCGCCAAGCACCAGGTCGAGTGCCCCGCTCCGCGCACCACCGCCCGCTTGCTGGACAAGCTTGTCGGCGAGTTCATCGAGGAGTTTTGCGTGAATCCCACGTTCATCTGCGAGCATCCACAGATCATGTCGCCGCTGGCCAAATACCATCGCAGTATTCCCGGCCTCACGGAGCGTTTCGAGCTGTTCGTGGCCAAGAAGGAGATCTGCAACGCCTACACCGAGTTGAACGATCCGGTTGTGCAGCGCGAACGTTTCGAGCAGCAGGCCAGCGATAAGGCGGCTGGCGATGACGAGGCCCAGCTGGTCGATGAGAACTTCTGCACGTCCCTGGAGTACGGACTGCCGCCCACTGGTGGTTTCGGCATGGGCATCGATCGCCTGGCCATGTTCCTCACGGACTCGAACAACATCAAGGTGGGTCTGCGGCTTGGCATTAAGTTATTGAAATCAATGCTCATCATTGGCTTTATTTGTTTTTTAGGAGGTTCTGCTGTTCCCCGCCATGAAACCGGAGGATGCCAACCGCACGGCAGCGGAAACTGCTCCCGCCGCCCAGCAGTAGATGGCCACCATCGCTCACTCGACTCAACCCCAATCCTTGTACGTTACGCTGGTCGCGGACTAGTCCCAGTTGCTAAGTTATTCAAACAATAAACATTTTTTTCCAATATCCGAAGCATTCGGTATTTTGCGGTCTCAATTTCTGCTTATTCCCGCGAGTTGGATAATCAATAGAAAGATTATGTATAGTAGATATCTCCGTGATATAATAATAAAATTATTATTATGTACATTTGGGACTGATGGGAAAGCTTTTTAAAAAATGTTTTTCGGTTTCGTTCCAATAATAATATTTTCGCGCTTACCAACACCGCGCAACTTATCGATACACGCGATAGCCGGCCATCGAGAACCAATGAACCGATAGGTTCGGCCAAATGAAAACATTGGCGGAGAAAAAAGCGAAAATTGTCAATTAATCCGTAATCACAGGATGGGGGACCAACAACAGCTGATCCTGGCCACCGGTGGCTATGACCACACCATAAAGGTGTGGCAAGCGCACACGGGCAACTGCATAAAGACGATGCGATTCGTGGAGACCTCGGTAGGATGACTCCGATTCGTGCATGTTCCGGTTAACTAACATAACTTATCTTGCAGCAAGTGAATGCGCTGGACAGAACGCCTGATAAGACGCGTCTGGCGGCATGCGGATACCAGTGCATCCGGCTGTACGACCTGGAGTCCAACTGCACCGCACCGGTGATAAATTTCGATGGGGTGCAGAAGAATGTGACGCGACTGGGCTTCCAGGAGAACGGCAACTGGATGTTCACCGCCGGCGAGGATCACCATGTTAGGATCTGGGACATGATCGCCGCACCGCCCCACTGCTCCAGGGTCTTTGACTGTGAGGCGCCTGTGAATGCCGCCTGTCTGCATCCGAATCAGGTGGAGATCGCCATGGGCTCACAGAATGGCAGCGTCTTTCTGTGGGACGTCAAGTCCGAGCGACACGAACGCATCGTGCCTGAGGTGGATGCATCCATTCAGGATGTGGCCATCTCGCCGGATGGCAGATACTTGGCGGCGGCCAACAACAAGGGCAACTGCTACATCTGGTCGCTGACCAGTCAGGATCAGAAGATGAGCACGCTGCGGCCGACCAAGAAAATTCTGGCGCACACTCGCTACATACTGCGCTGCAAATTCAGTCCGGATTCCAGGCTCCTGTTAACGACCTCTGGCGATGGCACTGTGGGCATTTGGAAGACGGACGACTTCAGCAAATGGCGTGAGCTGTCCATCGAGAACTATTGGGTGTGGGATGCCGCCTTTAGCGCTGATTCCAAGTGGCTGTTCACCGCCTCATCCGACGGCATTGCACGGCTGTGGAAGCTGCAAACGAAGAGTTCCATCAGGGACTATACCGGTCACACCAAGGCCATCACTGCCCTGTCCTTCAAGGACGAGATCGTGGGCAAATAGTAGTAGTAGTAGCTAGACGCTAGAATCTAGGCAACTTGTAAGCTTTGTGACCAACGCGTCACCATCGACAGTTTCCTGCTAAGTTGATTGTCTCCAGGCGGGCGGCGTTTTGTCGGATTTTCATGTGGATTTCCTGCTGCGAAATGATTGATCTACCTAAGTTCTAATAGTTAGCTCTAAGAAGCTGGGTCCACACAAAACTATTGGCATTTAAATACTAAAATGATTAGCCCCCAATCTCAATGTTCATTAAGCATCGGGGTTCTAGTTGCTACTCGTCATTAAGGTCAACGTTTTGGTTCAGTTTGCATATCCACTTAGATATATGAAAATGTAATTCATAGTCTTAAAATTTAAAACATACAAATTCGCATAGCTGCCACCAGCGCTCGAAAATTCACTTTTCCTATATTCATTCAGATAGCAATATGCAGTAAAATCAGCATATATCTCAGATGTACAACGAACAATGGAGACCGATCATACCCACAAACCGCCAACCCAGCGAGACAATCCGCAAGGAACAAATAATTTGGCATTTTTTGAGGGCAATAGCAAGTAGGGATAGTAGCGATGACCCTACTACTCCTGCACCACATAGGCAACACAGCAACCAGAACTGAAGCATCAAACAAAACAACATCCACAATTCAACAGAGTAATGAGAATACCTCTGAAAATGAGCGCTTGGCTTTTGTAGCGACTTTTTCATAATTTATAAACCTTTGATACATAATTATATTACGACTATATCGTTTGTATGCAAAATGTAATTTGAATAAAAATCTTACGAGCGTAAATATACATACAATACAGAAATTGAAAAAAAAAAACCAAATGTATCTTTCAAATAGGTCTTTTAGATAGCTGCACAACATATATGTGGAAAATTGACTGTCTTTTATTTGGTTTGTCTCTCCATTCATGTTTCTGATGGGCTTTCAATGGACGGGAGGGCGAGAAGCTGGGTGCCGGGATATCTAGTCCACATAATCGATGCATTTGGCCACAATTGACTCCTTGATGGGATCCGGATCGTCGCCCAGCTTGTAGCCCACAATGCAGGTGACGTCCACGGCCTTGCCTGTGGGATTCAGGAGGAGCATCACCTGGTTGATGGGCGTGGCCGGGCGGAAGGGCT